TTTCATCAGTGTTCATTACTAATTGAGTATATGCTTGAAGGATTTCTGACTTTTCCTTTAGCCCTGCTAGTTTCAGCTTTCTGTTGAAGTTTTTTCTTTCATAAAACAACATGTACCAAGTCCTCTTGGGAAAAATCTGCCTTTCTTTAGAGTCATTAAAGCAGTAAAGTGGCTTATTGAAAATGACTTTCACATAGGTGTTTTTAAAAGTTGTGAAATTACTAAGTTACTGTGTACTTGCATTAGAAATTAAATACGTTATACATTTGGGATGGTTTTGTTTACCATGATGAGGGTTTTGGGAGGAGTATGTGAAGCCAATTTGAAATTTTCTCTCTTCTGTAGTTTACTTCAGCTCCAGTGGAAGCAAGATTTAGACAAAGGATTAGAACTCATAAGCAAGGCCATTGAAATTGATAACAAATGTGATTTTGCATACGAGACCATGGGAACGATTGAAGTGCAAAGGTAATGCTGAATTGCAGTGTTAAGAGTTCTTAGTTAATTCTGAAGTTACAGTAGTTTTTAAAATTTCCTCATGGATCCTAAGTCTTGAGATCTTCTCCCTGGTATCCTGTAAGGCCAGCTCTTACCCAAAGTCCTGATTTCTGTTCTGTATCTCTTAGGTAAAGCATATGTATTCTCTGTGGCACAATTGTGATTTATGATCTGACAACTTCTTTTCACCAATTTCATACTTAATGGACAACGTGCAGAGGAGTCTGTGGATGTTTAAATACATCCCTTCTGCACTTAAAGTGACTTCCTTAATCATTACCTGCCTTGTGTGTACCTGATGTTGTCCTTGGACATTGGACTGTCTGTACTGAGGATCCTGGGCTGTTTTCTCCTGCAGCCAACAGGACTCCAGCTCACAGTTCTTGGGGAAAGAGGAATGCCCTGCTCTGTAACATTGTATTGCAAATGTGCAAAGGTGTGGGCTGTAGCTGGCAGTACAGTACAGAGTCTCTTTTTAGTATGTCTAGTCCTCTAAAGGACAGACAATTAAACTATTGCCATGAGAAATTTTGCAAGCATTTCCTATTTAAATAGTGTGCTTCTGGCTGTGCAAGTTTTCCTCTTTGGTATATTAAGTCCTTTCAGGGGAGATGAGACTTCATTCAGCTGCCCAGCATTATCTCTGCAGTGACCTTGGTGTCCTGTGGAGAACATTTTACCCTGCCCCATCACCCATGGGGGCTCTCCAGAGGAAGGCTGTTTAACGGCTGTCCTAGTTGCTTAGGCTTGGTAACAGCTCTGAGTTTACTCAGCATCACCACAAGTTCTTGTGGTCGTTCCTCCCAAAGTCCTTTTAAGTTATTAATGGTGGAGAGTGTAAGTCCTGAAAGAAAAATGATGTTTTAGAGAGGACAAGATTGCTTTGGCAGCCTTAACTGGGCTGAATTTTTGTTTATTTCAGAGGTAATCTGGACAAAGCTATTGAAATGTTCAACAAAGCTATCAACCTGGCCAAATCGGAAATGGAGATGGCACACCTCTACTCACTCTGTGATGCTGCCTATGCTCAGACAGAAGTTGCAAAGAAGTATGGATTGAAACCACCGACACTGTAAAGAAACAAGGAGGAAATGACCTTCCAAAGTGAAGTTGCCCACTTCAGCCAGCCCTAAAGATGCTGTTGCAGAACATGCTCAGTGGTGGAACTTAGTTTTTTCCCGTTCGTGGTGTTGTCATTTGCTACATCTGTTAAATGTTTAGGTGTTGTGGGAGTGGTTGTTCAAGGAAGTATGCAGTGCTGCATCTTGTTCCTTCTGCAGCAGAAACCTTAGAGTGTGTTAAGGGAAATAAAGTTGCAGGGGAACCAAAGGAACATATTTTGGCCATGCAAATAAAAACTTCACACTGGTTCATTTTGGGTGATTATGTTGTGGGCGATTTTTGCTTTATCAAATAATAATACAGCATGTGGGTTTTTTCCTGTTGATTTTAAAGGTAATACTAGTCAGTGCTGTAAAATAGGTTTTATATCCAATTAATCCTTGAGGGTTGATTTTAATTTTGCAAAAATTAATTTTCAAACTTTATTAATAGAGGGGTTTTTTTTAAGTCAGTAGATGTGGAGAGGATACCTGTAAATATATGCAAGCATGCACAATCTTCCCTTAAATCTCCTTCCACCCTCTGCATAACTTACTTAGAAATAGTCCTGTGGCAGCTATTAGGGAATTAATTTGATAGTCCTTATTCTCACCCCAGAAAGCCCTAGAGTACTACATAGGAGAGCTAGGGAAAAGGTTGGCTGGGGAAGGAGGTCAGTAACACTGCTTCAGTGTACACTTTACTGGAAGAAAGAATGTATTCCTGTGCAGCGGTCCTTACTTGAATGTCATGGGAAATTGTTCTGGAGGGTTCAGGGGGACTTTCAAGAACAGAAAGCACTGCTGGGAGTCAAGCTCCAAAAGGTAAGGTCATGCTTGCATATAACCTTTGTAATCTCTGATGCTTTTGCATAAGTGTAGCAGCTGATAGACTGTCTAAAGTCTCTTCACTCTCTAGAGACTGCTGGGTTATGATCTCCTTTTAAGAGCCCCTTGGCAGGATTAAGTAAGATAAGGAACAAAGCATAGGCTCAAACTTCCAATAGTGGAGTTGTAAACTGCACTCATTTCCTTGTTCTGTAGACCTGTCTTGTCCAAGATTTCAGATACTGTAGAAGGAAGCAATTGTGCTGCAAACAGCAGATGGGCAAATTATGAACAGTTTTCCTCTCGTTATGAACTTCACAGAGGGCCCTCTTGCTTTGGGTTGATCTTTCTGGTGTGGAAGTCAGTCCATCTTGCCTTTCCCTGGGCTGATGGGGCTGGACAAACCTCATGCAAATGATGTAGCTTAATTTGTGACACACTAGTTTGGGCTTCTTTCCATCCTGAAATCATAGATTTGTTCGTGGTGAATCGTCTGATGTATTTAACCTTTAAAGAAGTGACTGATGCTGTAGTCAAACTGTCTTGGTCTGTAGTTTGCCACCATACAGCAGCAGCTTGCATTTTCAACTTGACCTTCCTTTCTCCCAGCAACTACAGTGGAGTATTCAAATGGTGGAGAGTAGAGATAAAGATTTAATCATTATTTTAGTAGCTCACTAGGTGATGGGAAATCATAGCACTGTAGGATTGAAGATATGGGAATGTACTGGCAGCTTCTAAGGGCACTGAACATAACAGGTGTCAAATGTCTTCTCCAACTTCCAATCTCTGCATCAATTACCTGAGAACAAAAATATGCCAGGCTGATGAGTCCTGTTCTCCAAGGAGTTTTTATTCGCATGGCCTTATTTACCATTGGCATTTTCTCCTCATCACCCCATCTGTACCCCATTCCTTACCCCACCCAATCAATTAAGGGAAAAAAGCATGTGCTGTCAATTACTAGCATTCCAAATCATCACAGACTTTTGCCTGTTCTTCAACTAGTTTGAAACTGCACTGAAAGGATGCATTGTCTGTAATTTTTTTGTAAATGACATATCACCTGTAAACTGAAAAAATAAATACTACCTTCAAGTATCTCTCTCTGACATGTATAAGAACAGGTTTTGATGAAGGGGTTCTCTGCAGTGGTGAGCTCTGTGCTTATATTCTGTAGGAAGAGCTGCTAATTGTCATCTTCTCTCACTTCAACCTTTAAGAAAGAATGAGGAGGAGATGTGGAATCAACAGATCCAATCTCTGCTTGCTTCCATCACCCACAGAGGTATGATCTTGAGAGCTGGAGATTACAGGGGAAAGGAAGTTGAGCCAGGAGGGCTGGGACTCTCAGGAGCTCTGACCTTGTTAATGTGTGTATGCAGCTGCATCCCTGTGATGAAAGGGACTTTTTGTGAATGGCTGATACAGTTGAGGTTTTATTTTAAACCAGGTGTGCATGTGAACTTTGAAGTGAGACAAGTATTACTGCTATTTAAAAAAAAAAAAAGTTGAAATTTAGGAAGCTAGTACTGAAGACTTGGATAAAGCAATGTATCCTAGAGGAACTTGCTTCTACATACAACTGTCTAGCAACTTACTTCTCGTGGTGTATGGTCCCTGTTGCTCATGGAGACAGTGCTGTCAGGCACATGGTGTGATTCCTGGGATGTCCTGCACTGGGCCAAGAGTTGGGCTCTGATCCTGATGGCCCCCTTCCAACTCACCATATTCCATGGTTCTAAGCTGTGACTTGAATTACTAGGATCTAACTGCAGATGGAAAGGGAAAAGGGAACTAACAGACTGAAAAGCTATACTGTAACTTACTCTGCAGCTATGAAGAGCAGCTTTAACCAGCCCAGCAATACTAACACTGCCCAATTTCCTGCCATTTCTTCAAAACTAATTTAAATTCTTGCAGGCTGAAATTCTGGAACTGTTTCAGGTTTGTTACTGATTAGTTTCCTGTACTTACAGAATACTGGTGCACATGTGTCATATGGATACCTAGAAGTGCCTGTTTTCTACCAACACAAAGGTTGAGTAGTGGCTGCTTCAAGCACTGTGGCTAAGAACTGACAGTGTACTTCTTTCAGGGAAAGCCTCACAAATTCACAGCCCCATTTGCTTCACTTCTGAGTGCAGTGACTGGAGACCCTACTAAATAAATACCCTGCTAAAACAAGGTGCTTAGAAGTTGTCCTGATAGACTGAAAAGAACTGAGCTCATGGCAGCTCTTCAGCTGAGTTCACCAAAGTAGTTTGTAGTAGATTTTCATCCATCCTCTCCATTTGGGATTCCAGGGGAGGAGTTCAGACCACAGATTCTGTTACCTGTTGCAAACTGCACTTTGCATTTCTCAGATTTAAGTGGCCAGCCCATGCACCACTTTAATCCTCCAAAGGTAGTATTTATTTACTGCTGTGTGTTGAACTAGTAGAGAGAGGGGAGGGAAAGAGATTAAATAGTTATTATGACTTAGAAGTTGGAGCCCAGCAGTGGCCATCATGGATATGGGTTGTTGAGTATGTGGGAAGCACTAATCTAATGCAGGAGACTCGGCTCAAATGGTAAATTGTTAATTTTTTAATATTTATTTTTCAACAAATAAACCTTCATTTCACCTTGTGCTCTGTGGCTTGTTTCTTAAAATTCCAGTGCAGTATGTACACTGAAATGCAGTGAAAAGTACAGACCAAAAATACAGAATTCCACTACAGAATGCCACCAAGTGGAATGGTGGGATCTGGCTTTTGAGGGGAAGGACGTGTCAGGGCTTGGCTGAGTGTTTGTTCTTGTTTATAAAACACACACCAAGCTCATTACAGAGAAGCCAAATGTTTAAAAAAAGCCAAAACAAAACCAAAAACCCCACAAAACCAAAAAACTGTAGGAAGAGAAGGATTGCTGAACATGAACAAAATATAAGCTGGTTTTGGGGAAAATGTGGTTAGCTAGGGCAAGACAAAACCTCCTCTCCCTCCCATTTTTGTATTTTAGCCTTACAGCTGTTTTATGCTGCTGGAAAACCAAAAGCTTATCAGTGAAGGCTGGTAAGTTGCTTCTATTTTTCATTCCAAGGAATAAAAAGCATAATTTTTACATTCTTTTTACAGTAAAAGATGTCTTCCTTCAAAAAAGAAACCCCAAAACCAAAAGTGCAACATGCTTGGCTGGTTTGCAGTATTTTAAAGCAGTCTTTCACAATCAGTTTGTCTCCAGCAAAAGCTGCACAGTAAGGAATGTTTTCTCTGCAGTGGATGGTAGCAATAATGCATTCAAGCCTTAGGCAGGACTTAGTGCAGCAGGTTGTCCAACCTGCCTCCCTCAGCCTTTTCCAGGCAGCAGAACTAAAATCCACTCAGGCATTCTGTTAAGGAAGCAGTATGGAGAGTAAAGGTGTGGCAATGTGTGAATTACTGTAACACAGTAACCCATGTCACTTCAGCAAAGAACGGGACTTGCCATAAGGAGAATTTAATGTACAAACCCAGACAAAACACATGAACCAAAAACTGCTACAGATTCTTCTACAGGACCAACTCTGTCTGGCAGCTTCTTGAGGTGTCCTGAGTGGCACAGAGCAGAATTTGGCCTGTTTTGCTCAGTGTGTGAAATTTTAAGTTTTCCAAGTTAGAAGTAGGGCATTGAAGGACCTTGGTTAAGTTATATACATCTAAAAAGGACAGAGTAAGAAGAATCATTATTCTAGATTTTCTGACAATTCACTGAAAAATTCATAATACCAAAGCTGACTTCAGAGGGAGTTTTAGAGAACAAGACTTCCATTTCTGTGTTCTACAAAACAGCTCTCAGAAGACAACTAAAACATTATGATGCACACAAATCAATATTAATCACTGCTGTGTTGAACTGATTTCATCTCCATCTTCATCCTAGATGTAAAATACTGTGAAATACTTAAGTATGAGAGGAGATACCAAAGTTATGTTTCCATCATACTAGAATTGCACCAAGTTTTTTGTTATGTGATGGTTTCTTAACTGGCACATTAGGTAGTAAAAGGAAATCCTTCCAAAGATGAAGGGAACAGCCATTGTGACAGCTGAACATTCCCTCTTCACCCAGCTTCACTTTTTCATCTCTACACCATAGAGATCACTACGCTTCTGGCTTAAAATAGGAATCTGCTGACGTATTTCTGCAAGTTTCTTTAGATCTGCAGGAGAGAAGAAAAGAGTTAAGAGAACAGCAGCCAAAAGAGAAAGCTCCTGACTTGCTCTGAGGTAAGACAGGGAAAAGAGCAGCTTTGATGTTGAATGGGGTGGTAGGGCACTGCAAGTGAGCAGCCAGGGCTGAAGGAAGCCTCAGCTTTGCTCTTTCCTGAGGTGGCACCTTGTTCCTAAGGAAGTGAACTAGAAGGGTACAGCTGTAGAGTACTGTGCACAGAACAGTAAAGCCAAGGGCTGCTGGTTCTTGCTTTGACCTAGCATAGGTGGACAAGGCAGAAGAATGCTACATCATCTGTAGTTGCATGTGTAAGGCCACAGACTTAAAAAAAAAAAACTGTCTCTCCTTAGTGTCATAACCTGTACTCAAGAAAAAAAGTGGGGAAAAAAACCAAAACAATTTTTCTCTTACCTATATCTGTGTATACAACTGTTTCCTCAGCCCCAGCTTTGGCTATGACTTCACCCCTGCAAAATTAAGCACATTTGTTCACAGGATTAGACATTGGTTTCAAGGCATCAGTGCAGTTGCTGCTGTTTGTACAAAAAGGAGTTCCTACCCTTGATGCCTACAGCTGTAATGACAGGGCTGGCCTAAAAATAGCATCATAATCCATAACTCTGGCATGATAGAAATGGCTTCCAGGCTTTAGATATGGCACTTTGTATATGTGACACATACACACTTAACATAAGTGTCTTTCAAAGATTAAGAACTGTGGTAAAAGCCATTCTGAGGGCCATTGCCTGTGAGCATGCAACACAGCTCAAGGGGAAAGGAACAACCACATTGGCAAACATGAACACTTTCTCCTTTGAAGACCCTACTGGCTTTCAATAGTGTACTTTTACTCTGCATGAACTCCTGAACATGATCATGTCTCCCCCAAGTGTTGTGTCACTGCTTTCATCATCTAAAGTTAAAAGCTCACAACACAGACAAAGTTTTTCTTACTGTGCAAACAACTGGAGCTGAGCTATCAGTAGATTTATGTGAAAGAAAAACAACTGCCTGAAGATTTGGTCATTTTACCTCCTGTGCACCTGCGTGACTTCTGCTCAAGTCAGAATCTCTCTTCTCTAGCTGAAGACATTCTTCTTGCTCTTTCTTATGTCAAAGCAGTGTTGTTCTTTGAGGAAATGAGATAGTTCTGTGTAAGCTGTTTAAGAGAATTACCCTATGCATAGCATATCATGGACTGAACTTCTGGGACAAGGTCACAAGGTCAGCAGTTCAACTAAAGCTTAATCCCAGTACTAAGTAGTATCTTTACTACCAAAAGGAATACATACTCAAACTAGTTCTTGTTTACTTCTTGTTTTTTTTTTTTAGTTTGGCTGTTTTAAATCATGATCTTAAGAATGTAGGCTCAAGTCTCATGTACTTTTAACAAGAATTTGCACTTTTAACAGTAGATGGAAAAGTAGGACTGAAGTGTGACTGCCAACTAAAATATTTTTTTATCAAAGAAAAGATGGTGTTTTTTATTTTATTGAACTCACCATGGATTTACTACAGTGCTGTGTCCCCAGGCAACATAGGATGCTTTTTCATCTCTAGCAGGAGATACAGTAGCTACGTAGAGTTGATTATCAACAGCTCTGTGTTCACAGAAAAATGAAGGAAGTGAGAAGAATTGTTTTTTATAATACCATTTAATTAAGCAGAAGAGAAAGAATCCACTCTGAAGGACAAGCTATATATCCTCTAAATGACTAGCCCAAACTGTGAATGATACAAAGGTCAGAGAAAGAAGAGCCTGGAGAGAGAAGTCTCTAGCACCTGGCTCCAGAGTTAGTGCATAAAATATCTTGCAATTCACAGGTTCATCCAGTATGTAGCAAAACTGATTGAAGCTGACCAAATGAATAAACAATGTGCATTCAGCAATCTCAGAGTCCATTTCTACCTGTAATTAGAGCACTTCCCAAATGGTTACTGGCTCTTCTCTCCTGAATTTTTGTTTGAAGGGTGCTTATAAAGCCATAGGAAAGGGTCATTGAAAGGGCATAGCAGGGGCAGGAGGGAGTAAATGCTAAGAACTTCCTGCTTTTCTCCTTGACAGTAAAATCATTTTGCTGTCCCATGCAAGGCTTGAGGGATGGAGCAGCTCCAATGGCCAAGTGGCCCTACAGCACCACTTCTGACACACAAGTGTCACTTGGAACACAAGAAAGTTCAGTTCCATGCACCAAAACTCCTCTAGCACAGGGGAATAACCTTTTTCTGTGATCTTACCTTCCTCTTTGTAAGAGTTCCCAATGAGCTGGTCCTGTAGTCATGTTAAAAGCCCCTGGATATATCAGCAGCTGGCAACCTTTGTTAAGAGACAATTAGAACCTAAGCACCATTAAGGGGAAGATGGGTTTCAGGGTGAAGGGCCACTCTAGGGTAAACCAAGGTGAGGTTTCTTTCCACACTTCCCAGCCTCTGCCCAGAGCCTGTCCATGCACAACAGGTAACATCAGCCAAGAGCTGTGGTGGGGATACCCCAACTCCACCACTCCTCCACCACCTGTGGATCAGGAAGTGATGGTTTCTTTACTCCCTGAGAGAAGTCACTCATCTGATTAAGTCTTGGCCACAGGATGCATTTTGTGTTTCTGGGCAGGGATAAGAATGCCTGATGACATGGATCAAGGAATGCCTGATCACAGGATCACCCAGCACAGAGCACCCAGAACCTGCCCTGGCCTTAGGACCTGAGGGGACCTGAGGGGACCCAGCCTCACCTTTCTGGCCGTAGATTTGAGCCATCTCAGCAAATCTCATATCATAGCAGATGCCCAGGCCCACTTTGCAGTATGCTGTTCCCAAAACACAAGAGACAGAAATGGTATCACTAGCACAAGTAGACAAAACAAGCACAAGACTCCCTGCAGCCATCCTGCAAACTGTTATTTTGCACGGCTCACAGCAACAGGAGCAGCTATATTTAAATGTGTGTCCAACAAGCACTGGCTACTGTTGGGGGAGAATTCATGCTTCATAAGGACAGAAAGAGTGTGAGAAGCATCCTATCTACCCTTTAAGAAAAGTTATTTCCACAAAATCATGTTGTATCAGGTCTTTGCGTAACATATTCCTCTCTCATTTAGCTGCAATTTTTTTTTCCAATAAAAGAAAACACTCCTTGCTTTTCATGCAGTAAAAATAGTCATGTAGTTTCTTAGAGCATGCACATTGCAAAGAGGAGAAAGTGGCTGTGGCAGACAAGACTCTTTGGAGAGCTCAGTTAACAGATTGTGTCAGCTTTTGAGCAATATGGGGTGGGGAGGAGTCGATATTTTGCTTTTTTATCTGAGATGACTGATTCAAAAAGGCTGGAATGATTTAGTTAATTGTCTCCATTATTATACCATCCTCACCTGAAGCAACATACCATTGTAGCTGTTACATACTTTCTTTTCTAGGCTGTGTTTTTATAAGAAGAATTTTCAAGCTGTAACTGCTATTAAAAATACCATCACTTCCCTCTAACAAATCAATAGGACTATTCCTTAATTAAGGCAGTGGGGTGACATATGTTTCAACCTTTTGTACTCCTCTGTCCTTTTCCAACCACATTGCCTTTTTAAAAGTTTCAGAAGTGACCCAAACACTTGAAGCAAACTTAAACTACATTTGTCATCAAATGCTCAATCAGATTGTCTAAAAATGCACTGCAGGAAAGGAGGAAGGGGAAGAGAACTGCAGAGTGACTGGAGTGTTACTGTATTTGAGCTCCTTGAAGAGAGAGCTTGTTTTGTACTCACGTGTGTCAAACATGGAGAAGCTATTCCCCGGACTCAGTGTTTCAGACTCTTTGAACTGGATCTTCCCAGGAACATTAATGTCAAACAAATGAACCTGCAATTATACTATGATTAATAACAATTAATGACAATTTCTCTGTTTGGTATTTGAGCCTCTTTAGGCATGTGCTTTCTACTGTTATCTAGACTACTCTTTTGTCAGGATCCAAAGTAAACATTGCTTAAGATTGTTAGATCTCCCAAAGATGATTTAAAGTATTTTCTTCTACACAGAAATATACATGTCTAAAGTTGAAAATACATGCAAAACAGCTAGATGTTTTGACCTAATGATTTGTGTCTAACATTTGAGTCCCATTCCTTTAAAACTTCTCAAGAAAATACCTTCACTGAGCCATGACTTCAGCTATGCAGCTGCCTCTGAGGGCCTGCAGCTGCCTTCATCCCTTCCTTGCAATGGAAGGTGTTGTTCCTTCCTGGAGCTTCCTAACAACAGAGCTGATTTTATTTCTTTATTTATTCACACTTGGCACACGGCTGCACTCATTCTACAAGCAGCTCCTGGGCTTGCAGACTGCTGTGCTGGTGGAAGGCAGCACAGAACTGCACAAGGTGATCGAGTAAGCAATGCTAATGTAGAATCAGCAAACAGAATAATTAATAAAAAATTAAAAATTAATTATTTAATTAAAAATTAATAGCTGCACCACCTTATTTGTTCCAAGTAACCCTGCATTTTTTTTTGTTCCAAGTAACAATGCATTATCTATTATCCTTAAAAGAAATAAGCTGTTGCTCACTCATGGAATGATCCCTGTGTGCACAGTCCCATGAACAGAAAGTGGGGATAAGAATAAAAAAAAACAGTTCCACAAAGAGAAACTGACTCTGGAGTTATAAATGGGAGGCAGTTTTCCAGAAGGCACAAAGCAATAACAAGATGGAAGATGACAGCCAGCAAATATCTACTACAAACAGCAGTGAGAGCTTAACTTGGACTCTGCATGTCTGCACTAATCACTTTTAGCACAAAGTATGTAAAGAACAGTATTTATCATAACAGAAGGACTAAATCCATCAGGAAGTTGAGGGAAAATCCTGATCCCACTCAAGTGGCACTGTGTTTTAAACTTAGGCCTGGGTACAGAGATACATGAGTTGGATCAGGTTTTACTCTTTCCCATGGTTTCCCCAGCATATGGGGAAAACCAATTTCACCTTCCAGTATTTTGTCATCCTTGCCCAGAACAAATTTATGAACACCTTTTGAAGTGGTGTTTACATACCCCAAATAAAAGTTACATGAAATTTCATGGGTGATGGTACACAACTCATTATTAATGCAAGATTCTACTAATTTATACCTCCTTTGAGTACAGACTAAATAATTTATGCAACACTGCTGAGAAAACCTTTCATAACAATATTCTGCCATCTTACCTTTCTATGCTTTGCCAGAAGAGCACCATCAGGCCCAAAGACAGCACATGTATTATAGAGCTTTCCACCATCCTCTTCTGGAATGGATCCTTTGTAAAGGCAAGAACAGAGATTTCCCCCACTGTATTATTTGTGTAATTTTAATCCAATGGCAGTAACAGACACTGCCCATTTTTCCCCCAGTGAGATGGTCACCAAGAATAAACTACCTCCAATGAGATATATGCTGCACTCCTTTGCAACTTCTGACAGCTTTTGTGTTGATTCCCCAGGGATCTTCTCTGCATACTCCTTAAAGTACTGGGTTCCATATGGAGAATTAAAGCATTCCTAGAATTAGATGGGAAAAAAAAAAAAGAAACTAAAATCCAGTAACACCACCACAATGAGATGTACCTAACTTTTCCAATTCCTCTCTAACCATGTTCTCAAACAAGCTTTGCTTACAGGAGTTTAGTTTATAGGAGCTCAGTAAGTGAACCAGGAAGGCCAGAGAGACCTGAACAATTGTTGAAAACACAACAGGTGTGTTTGTGGAGTGCATGCCAAATAGAACAAGAGCTAAGATTATCATACAAGCTGTAAGGCTAGCACATTCACTGCTCTGGGCTTAGCAAGAACATAGGGGATGTTCATACCAGAATGAGGAGCCAAGTTCTACACAGTTCTCATTTGACAAGTTACAAGCTCAGTAGATCCTCTCAAAATTCTGAAATGCTCATCCATCGTTCATTATTTCTTATTTTTTAAAAGGACATTTGCAAAAGCATGCATTCCTCAAAATTACTTACTGTTTTGCTAAAACAATCATTTAAACATTATTTCCTCACAACTGAACGGTGTCCTCCACCTTAGGCCCTCGTTAAAGATTTGCCATCCCTTTAGAACCAGGCATGTAATCTTTACACAGGTTAATAGAGTAGTTTAGATGCCTAAAATAGGTGGGCTAGTGGTATTTGAGACGCCCAAGATATGAGGAACTTTCACTCAGCATTACACTTGGCTGCTCTGTGAGGAGTGAGACACTCCACCCAACACTTTCTTGTGCCCTGGAGTGCAGCTGGAGGCCACAGATAGGTTATCAAAGTGTGGCAGCAACTTCTCTTCTCTCTGTGAGAAAGGGACTCCCAGCCCAGACACCTCCATTGTTCCCTCTGCTCACCAGAAGTGACAAACACACCTCCACCCCCACAAAGAAAAAGGAAAAAAAAAAATCAAGCTGTGACTAACACAATAAACACTTCTGCTTTATCTGCTCAAGCAAACTTAGCAGCTGAGGTTGGTTCTGCTGAAGTGGAACAAATGAATCCAAGCTGGAAAGGGTTTTTCCCCCCTACACAGGGCACTAGGCCAGCAGTGCCCAGCTAACCCACAGCACAACCTGTAGATGGAAGAAGCTGGAAGGGAAATCTCTGCAAGCTGTCAAAATGAGCTCCCCAGGCTTTTGAAATCTGGGCTGAACTTCAAAGAAGTGAAAGCAAAGCCAGCTGCCTCCATCTTCATATACTCAGTGTGAGTTACTTTCCTTTGTATAAAGTTATTAAAACAAAAAACAAACCCCCAAAGAAAGAAAACAATGGGAAGACAACATTTCATGCCCATGCCCTAATGTCACTACAAAATGCATCTCCCAAAAGTCTGTGAAATGCCTTGCCCATGTTCCACAACTCGTATTCTAAAAGCATAAATCTTTGCTGGCAAAGGGAGTATCTCAGCTAAGTAATTCTGGAAATTTCAATGCTTGTACACATGATGAAGCCAGTAAGTAACAGTAATCTCTGCACAGGAGGCAGAGGCAGAGCACTGAATGGTCACATTTGCAACACAAGAACCATGCTAGCACAGAGGAGCTGGGAAGGTTGCTCAATGCTTCCCCATGACAGAGGAGAGAAAACATTCTGTGTGTAAAACTGAGACCCAAAGTTCACCCAGAGATGAACTTTGCACTCCTGTGTCAGAGGTACAGGAGTAACACAAGTATCCCCATGAAGAGAGGAAAAAACTCAAAGCTGCACTGGGAAGCCCATCCTGTGGTCAGCACATCCATTGTGTGAAAATTCGCCAAAATAAATATGGCTAAAGTTCAAAAAGTCAGTCAGAAGTGGTTGATCATTTAAAATGGCTACTTTTGTTTCCACACATGGAAGTCACAAGAGGAATGTGTCTTAATCATAATTCAGCCACAAATGACCTGCTGGAAATATGTTTTAAGTCTGTTTTGATTCTCATGTATCTGGAATGCTTACAGCAAGGAGAGCTACTGTGTACCCTCTTTCACCTTCATGTCAACATTCTTTAGCTGAAAACTGCCTTTTTTCTACACTTCCTCAGCAAAGATTCACACTACAGTGTCACTCACCTGAATTCAGAATATATCAGTGATGGCATTGCCTAGGATTTAAACCAGCAAAAAATTTACCAGAATCTTACACTGCAAAAAAGATCAACCTATTTTTTGTTCCCCTTTTCACTCCCCACCTCCCACCAGCTACAACCCTTGGGGTTTTTTAGCTTCTAGTTTTATTTTGAAGCTTCATACAGCATCTAAGCTATCCAGGGAGGAAGAGGAATATCTATTGCATTAATAACATTAGAAAGAGGTTTTGAAGGGTTTGAAGCATAAGGGCTAAGTAGGCCAAAATCTTACTCACAGGCAGAGCCACAAGTTTTGCTCCTTTAGCTGATGCTTCCCTCACCAGCCCACAGGCCCGTTGGAGATTATCTGATTTAACAGCAGATACATGGAGCTGGATAAGAGCAAGGCGGAAGGCTGATGGCAGAAAAGAAAAAAAATTATTCATCAGAATTCCCACAGGAAACTTCCAAATCTGAATTGAGTAGCAAGCACTGAAGAAAACAAATTAGTTAATATATAAACACATGCACAAACCACTACCAACTCATTGTGCAGCCTAAATCTGACTCTGAAAGTCCCTTAACACAGGGAGAGCACTGAAACCCAGCATTGCCAAGAGGAGCCATGCATGGCCACCACCCTGCAAAGATCACAGAGTTCACATGCAGCAACACCCAGTCCCTGTTCCAGGGCAAGGAACCATGGTACAGAAAGGGAGAGCACAGGTGCCCCATCCCCTCCTTCCCAGGCTGCTGAGCACTGTGGGAGCCCATCTTGCTGCACACCAAAGGACTGGATCCCCAAAGCACCAAATAAAGGAATTGTTTGCTTTTATCCCTAAATTCACACCTAGTTTTGGAAATGGCTATGAAAACCAAGAAAGGTTAACATCTTTCCTGATTATTTCTTAACAAACTGGTTTCTGGCCAAGTTGCAAGTGTTATCAACAGCTTCTACTCCCACTAAGCAGGATATACAACTGCAGGCTCTCCAAGTAGCCAAGTTTTGTGCACACTACTTGTATTTCCTTCCATTAATCTCTGAGTACCCCAGGTTGTAGGGAAACACACCCTGATCATGATAAGGTAGAACTATTTTCTTTAAAACAAACACAAACCAACCAACCAATCCTCTCTGGCTTTATAAAAAAAAAAAAAGTATCCCAGTTTCATAGCACCTCTCCTGTCTGGGAGAAAACTCCCCCATCAGTCAAAGATCACAAAAAGAAAAAGATAGCTGGAAGCAACACAGTCCCAGTGGTCAGGGAAACTGGAAAAGCTGTTTCAAGTGAAGATGAGGCTGGGTCAGGAGCAGTTGAGATACATCTTTGATCCTAAGCAGCTAATTTCTAGAAGATAAGCAAATGATTGACTGCTCCCTTTGCCACTCTTCCTGTGAGTCTTTTACTGTTGGCTCTATTGAGCAAACAAAGCCCATCTGGTATTCTGAACAGATGTAACCACAGGTTCCAGACCCACCTAGATAATCACACCAAGGATCTGTCAAAAACTTCCCAGCATTTGTGGAATGTGTTTTAGTTCAGACAAGTTGGCCACTTAAAAAAATTACATTTCAGAGTTAAACAAACAAACAAACAAACACGCTAGGAAAAAAACCCATCATATTTAAAACACCGGGAAGTGTAATTAAGGTAATCTCCTATATATAAATATAACATTATTTGTCTCGGGTTTGAAGTTCGATAAGGTGCAAAACCGAAGCTCAGCCACAACAGAACACTTGTATTTGTGCCAGTTTCGTCAACAAACATTCAGATGTGGAAGCAACAGAAATGCAGAGAAAAGTGCAGCAGGGCTTTAGAGAGAGACCTCTGCTCCCAGCCTTGACCAGCTGCCCCAAAACCTTCATTAAAACCAATTCTCAGCATAAACCTAAAGCAATGTAGGCCACAACCAGGTATAAGCACAACGGAGTAAAATAATGGCTCGCATTTGTACCACTACACGACAAAACACGCTTTTTTTTTTTTGTTTTAGAGCACCGAGAGCGAAGCACGCCCGGTTCGCTGGCGTTTCTTGCTGAGCTGACCCTGCAGGGCGAGCTCTGTATCCCGGTCTGTGCCCAGCGCAGCGCCACGCCAGCTCCCCTCTCCCTGCACTGTTCCTCAGGCTGGGCCAGGACCCAGCACCGAGCCTGTCCCGGTCTCACCGGGGCCGGGCACAGCCGGGCCCGCGGCCCGCAGGAGGGACGGGCAGGGCCAGCACTCACACGCCATGGCTCCGGCGGCCGCCCGCATTCCCGGCTCCGCCCGGCACCGCGGGGGCTGCCGGGACTCGCAGTGCCGGGCCCGGCTCAGCCGGAACCGCCCTCACCCACGCCGCCTTCGAGCGGCCCCGCTGGAACCGGGACCGTCCTGAGGGGCGAAATGCAGGGCTGAGGCACCCCCGCCCTGCCTGGGGCAGCGAGCGGGCAGCGCTCCCCCGGGCCCCTTCAGCGCCGGCAGCGACAGCGGAGCCCCCAGAGCTCCGGCTGTGCCGAGCGCCGCTTCGCCCTCAGCCCAAGGGACCTGTACCAGCTTACAGGTAACGCATTCACCGGGACATCCACCTCTTTCTTTACAAGAACAGCATCCCCCAAGGTACAAGCATCTCCACAGTGCTCCAGATGTGGAGCAGTGTCCAGTTCTGGGCTCCTCAGAACCAGAAAGACAAAGAGCTACTAGAGAGGGTGCCATGGAGGCTACAAAGATGATTTAGGTCTGGAGCACCTCTCTTATGAGGAGACACTGTGGGAGCTGGGCCTGTGCAGTCCAGAGAAGGGAAGGCTGGGAGGGGATGTCAGCAGTGCAGATAAACTCCTCAAAGGCATTTGTCAAGAAGGTGGTGACAGACTAATTAATGTCAGTGGTGCCCAGTGACAGGACAAGGAGCAATGGCCATAAACTAAAACACAAAGTTTCACCTCACATGAGGAGGAACTTCCTTACACTGAGGGTGGCAGAGCACTGACCAGGCTGCCCAGTGAGTTCTCCCTTCCTGGAAACATTCCAAACCCTGTCTCACCTGCTCTAGGTGACCCTGCCTAGACTGGGAACTTGGCCAGATGAGCTCCAGAGCTCCTGTCCAACACTGCAACTCTGTGAAACCAACACACTACATACCATGCTGCTCTTCCTTGCCTTTAAACACCAAGTGCTCCCCCTCACTCAGCACAAAACATTGCTGTCTCATGTACGTATTTTCCAGCTTTGGGCTGTTTAGAAGCATGTTTGTAGAATTGTAGATTTTGTGTAGCACTATTTCTCAAATGAGACTATGTCTGTAAGCTGAAGGCACATAATGGCAGAATGGGTAAAGATAAAATGGGTGACCCAGGGTGATCAATCTCTTACACACCTTCCCTTTCAGGAAACATGCAGAGAGATAAAGGATGGGAAGTGCATAACCACTGTAAAATACACAACCACTACTGTGTGCAACAATTACAAACCTTCCTTCAAGCAGAGAACTGTTCAACCTGCCCCTGGCAGCAGTAAAGGGAACCACTCATCCCAATCTGACCAAGCCAAAGGATGGCAGAACAGACAGTGCAGCAGCCCTTAGCAGGCCTCCCTTCTTTCTATACATGCCCATGGTGGTAGAAAGAGCATATGTGTTGTAAAAGAATTTTTTCCTTCCCCAAACATCACACTTTGTAGGGCTCCAGGTGCAAAGAACAGCTGTCCCCCAACTTCTTCCCAAATAAGAAAAAGAAATCAAGTAGCAAAATCCCTTGAAGGGGCAAAGCACAGGCCAAAAATCCAGTTGCCTAGGGGTCAGAGAGATAAAATGTATTTTTCAAGTTTCCAACCAAAAGTATCTGAAAGCACTAAGTATAGCCAGTAGAACAAGTTACATAGTACCATCTTTTTCCTTCCTAAAGGGAAACATTTCACACATCCAGTAGACTACACCTACATTGAAAAAGCTAATTTGGCAGTACCTGGTTTTGAAACTACAGCTGTCATGCAGTTGGAAGGAAAAGATCCAATCACAGGTGAGACCCATCTGTAGGGCTAACAGGAAAAGGCAACTTTAAAAATTGCAACTCTGCAATCAACAGTGGTTTTGGTGGGTAATACACAAAGTTCTTCACAAATTCTCATATAAATCAGAATCTAGAGGAATTTGTGAGACAAGTGAAGAGCCATCAGTGAGCACAGAAGCACCAACTCCCACTATGACACAAAGGTAAGAGCTTTCATTTGGCAGGGGTGTTTACTCCAAGACTTTCTTTCCTACTCCAGACCTCATTTCTATTACTCCTGCATCCTAACTGTCACCTTATATTCAACAATATAGACTGTGGTGCATGCAGAATAAAACAAGAGCCAACACATCTCTAGCAAATATAATTTAAAATAATCCTTGAAGCTAAAAGGGACAGGAAGTAGCATACCAACTTTTTTGATTTTTCTTTTCAAAAAATATCACTGCAGTATTATAATTAGAATTTTTGCTTAGTAATAGAAGTTTTGTAACAAACCCAATAACTACAGATATGTACAATATAAGGCAAAAATGGCCCTGAAACTGTGGGTAGAGATACACCAGCACCATTGAAATGATTCATAATTTGGGCTGAGCTTTTTAAGATAAGAGGCCTGTTGATAACTTGTACATTGCCTTAAAACTTACAAATAATTAGCCTCTAAATGGCTTGGATTGCATGTTTCTACAGAGAAGGGATTTAAGAACTGACTTCCTGTTGCTTTACTTGCTGTAGATCTCAAAGGTCTGCTGTGTTTGCTGTCCTCACAGTGCAGCATACACATTAGCCACATTCCACATTTAACACTCAAATACACCTGTTTAACAAATGAGTGTCATTTTCACTTTTCCCCTTCTGACTAGGAGAAATATGTTGTATCATTCTGTCAACATTTTCATAACAAAAATATGATGTTGAGAAGTCTGGAATTTATGCAGAAACCTTTTCTATAACTTGATTATTTGTGAATTCACTTTGACCTTTCTGTGAATGCTCACCCAAAAGTCCTTAATTAATTAACTTAAATTCTGAAGTACTTACATTAAGAAGTCACTGGCAGTAGCTCCCTATGATCCATAATCAGCATCTTCCACTCCAAAGATCAAATTCACTTCCATTTACAAAACACCTTTAGGAAAAACTTTTAATTGATTCAGAGAATTTACACAGTATGCAACTAAATACCTTTTGACAGAACAAGTTATGTTCAAATTGTACTGGTTTATTTACAACTGTAGTTTATAAACAGTAGCACAAACATCTTTACATGAAAAAAATCTCGTTGCTGAAGTAGGCACAGAGTCAGAGATTCTTGAGGATATTTTCAGGAGAGACTAGGAAGAGGAAAATGTAATACAACAGCTGCTGGGCAAAACTATAAATACATGAGCATTGGCCCAGGTGCAATTTCATGCAAATATTTTCAACAGTTCAAGTTCTATTGGTGTTTACTCAGATACTAAGAAGGAAAAAAAAAGGTAATTAGTTCCAGAATTAAGGTGCCCTAGCTTGATTCCTAGTAAAATAACTTAGAATAACTGTTTTTTATAAAGGTCAGTTTAACTTGTTTTACCTTCTGATGAAGTACCAAATCATAGGTTTTGATTCAAGTACTCAGAAGATCTCTTGCAGCAAAGCTAATCCCCATTATCTTTATTTCACAGTTTTCGGTGATTTCCCATCAGTCTACAAAGATGCTCTGCCTTGTCCATGAGAACATTCCTGTACTGAGCTTTGAACAAGGGAACCATTCTTGAACAAATGGAAAGCTTATGATGAACAGTCATAGAGTTGCCATCTCCCAAATCTTCACTAATTTAGAAATTGTTACTCAAAATAACAGAAACAAATGCTTGAATCAATGAAGGTAACTGGTTAGGAACACATTTATCACAGCTATGCAGCACTGGAATTTCTCCCTGGTTTTCTGTGCATTCATCTTCTTGCTGAGCACACCTTTGGTCAGTGTGTACTCACTTTTGTGCTGAGTTTTAAACATCTAAAGTTCTTAGATCTTTTGCTTCTGAGGAGCAAGGCAACTTGTTTTCAGCTGTCATACTCTGTCATGAAACATGCATTTCAATGCACACACTCATCTTTACAAGGGAAACAGCCTTAACCTATGAAATGTAAAATTTTGCATAATTAAAAAATCATAACTCTGTTGTAAAAACTACAGTTAATTTCAGTATTTAAAAATAATCTTTATCACCAATTCCAGTTATTTAGCCTAGTAGCTGGTAAGACTTTAAAAACCTCCTAATTTTACAAATTGCTTGTATTTTTTCCATTTATCTGCAGCCCAAACGTAACCATTTTTAATGTGAAAACTGTTTTTAAGATTTGTATCTGCCTTGTTCAAAACCCTAAATTTTTAATTAGTCTTTGCTACTACCTGGTAGGCAGAATCCAATTTCTAGACTGTAGGCAATGGAGACATTTTATTTACAAGGGATAATAATTTAAAAACCATTGTTTTCAATTCCTCCTCTGTATCTCTGTCTTTCATTCCTTTTACATACTTAACAGGAACCCAGCTGCATCTGCTCTTGCAAAGATGCAGATCACTCCCATTAAGGCTGCATTAAAAAGAAACAAACTGACCTTTATAATAAACATTTCTCCAAAACAACAACAAAAAAATTATAATTAAAAAAATAAAATAAACAAAAATCCTGTTCAGAAATGGATAATAAGTTACCCTATCTTAAGCCTGCTACTCAGGCACTCCCACCAGCAAACAGAAAAATTCTCTTAAGTTAGTATTCAGTTGGGAAACAGTCAGCTTGTGTCCACATACAGTATCTTGGTTGCTTCTTCTTTATAAACTGGTCTCTACAAAGTCTTTAGTTATTAACTCTCCAAGGCATCCAATACTTTCATGATCTGTTGTTTTATGGCTTTGGTAGCATCACCTGCATTTGGAATCAAATACCTTAAAAAGAATTAGAAAAAGCCATCATTAATTCACTGTAAAATTTTTGAGTATGAATTCCAGAATTCTTTTAATTTTTCCTCTGTCTGGGAGGAGGAGGAGAAGGGAATATATTAAAATGAAAAAAATAATAAGAAAATAACATTTAATTCCTGATTATACTATGAAACTTTCTCTTTGTGAACTTAGAATTGTTGAGGAGTACTTTACAGGCCATCTTGGAAAGAAAAACTGGGAGAGGTCAGGCCATTCCAGATCTCTACAGATAACACTGTCTGACTGAAGCATAGAGGTCCTTGCTTGGATTTTGTTTTGTGGTATTTTGGGTTTTGTTTTTTCAATTCCTATAGCTCTAGATCAATCTGCTTCACTTCTCAAGATGGTGATTAAGTAATTCAACAAGCAGTAAAGTTCTCTGCATAATTTTAATTTATCTTTACAAACCTAAGGAGCCAACAGGGACAGAACATCTCCAGTTAGGAAGGAAACTCATCTCCCCTCTCTTGTGAAAACAGAAAATCCTCTGGACACAATTCCCTCCAAGGAACAAAACATCCAGCTGGTATCAGCAACCTTCTTAAAACAGTGCCAAGAACAGCAGGCTGCACCAGTGGAAAAAAGCCTGACACACCACTCCCTCTGACCCCTTCCCCCTCAAGCATGCAAATATTGAGCATGGCAACAGGTCACTTCCAGGAATCAGGTTTCAGGGAATCAGAGTTTGGAATTTAGGCTTCTGGACTCCTTGCACAATGCACAGAGAATATGAGTCAGATGTAAAAAAAAAATTAAAAAAAATACTCCACCATACTGTTAAATCCCACTGTTCACAAATCCATACTTTTGCTGCAGAGAACTGTCCACTTCATTTTTATTTAAGATCTATTACAAAAAGAAAACACTTGCACACATCCCATCCCCAACACTGTAGGTGCAGTTCCTCTCTTCTGCGTCTCATAAACACCCACCATTTTACTGGCAAATCTTTTTCCCTAGTTCACATCTGATTTATGTATTCCTGAATAAAAACTATTATTTTTGAACTCAGTTCTGGGAATTACAGCATACCCCTGATTTCCAGTGTACAGCACCCTGGATATCATTACCATTTACAGCCCTGCCACTGAGATGGCTTACCTTTCAACTGCCAGGATTTCTATGCCTGAAGTATTGCTATTTCCATACTTAAAGGTGATCAGTTCTGGGTGTTTCTTCTTGGATGTGATTTTGACTACAGAGTTGAGTGCCTGGCGAGACTGTATGTAAGCCAGTCCCTTCCGTGATGGAATCTCCCTCAAACAGTACATATGGGTTGCTGTTACTAGGAGATGACTTGAAGGAAAAGAAAAATACAAATTAGTTTTGTAAATGAATTAAGTATCAGCAATTTAGAAAGTTAAATTCTATGACTAAACTACATGGAGAGAGGTAGATAATACAGCTACCAAATCTAAGAAACAGTTTTAACTTCCATAATATCTAATGAAGAAAGCTCTACAAAAGACTTCATAATTTCCTTGAGTGCTGTAGCACAGCCATTCCTGAAAACAAACATGGCATTGTCCCCAGCATTATTGGTGCACAGCCCCTCTCTCCCCCTTCAGTTTTCCTTACTACCTTGTTCTTCAAAGCAAAACTTGACACCAGTTTTTATACATAATTACCATTCTAGAGCACTGCAAATACAAGAATGCAAATACAGTAACACTTTGTCCCAGTTTGTTTCACACTTTCATTTCCTAGTGTAATATAAAGGCTAAGTTAAGTGACCAACACTTGTTTTTTAGAATTTATATCAAGATGGATGTTTTCACTGAACTTAATTTCAGTACCTGGGAAACATGTGTCCATTTTCTTTTACTTCATTACATGGAAAGTTGTACTTCACATCAGGTTTATTTATCCACGTTTGGATGTTGACAACCTCTTTTCGATCATCGTCAGACATTGAGGAGCTGTCAATTTCATCTGGTTTGAATGGAGGGGGTAAAAACATTAAAAAAAAAAATAAAATTCACACCCATCAGCCAACTTTTCAATTCACTTAAACCCACTGTAGCTATAGTGGTTCAAAGCAAGTGTACCAAATCATACAGAATTATTGAGAGGGAAGAAAGAAAAAGGCATATCTGATAGTTCTCTCAATTTTCTCTCAAAAATAAGCATTTTTAGGTCAGGGGGTATCTTAGGCTGGTCTGATTTGTCCATGCAGTAAAGTTTCATGGATTTCTTTCACAATGGAAGTCACTTGTGCAGACTTTCCTTGAAGCCATATAAACCCTTTGCATTTAAATCACCAATATCTTTTGGCAAGGAGTACCAAAAGCAAGACAACTTCAGTCCAGAATTTCTTCTTGTGGCTTCTAGTTTCTTTTATAAGAAGAAATGAACACCTGGTGATCCCTTTCAAGGATAGGCATTATTTTTGTGGATCCCTTTTCCTCCCTTAAAATGTCTCTTTCACATAAAATTCAGCTGTGCCTTTTGTGAAAGTAATATCACATCTTTCCTCACCTACTTATGCCTCTCTGAACCTTGTCCTGTTCAAACATTGTTTCTGACATCAAGAGCAGAAGACACACAACATTTAATGTGTGAGTGAATCACAGATTTCTGAGCATTTGATTTGCTTTTCTGACTGTTAATGACTGCTTACTTGTTATAAACCCACTGCAGCTGGACACAGCCAAATCATTCTAGCACCACTGGATCTGAAACTAGAAGTGCTTGGGGGGTTTTTAATGTCTTTCTTGCATTAAATTCATATTGAATTTCATGTGCCATTTTAATACCCAGTCATGCCAATTAGCAAAAGACTCAGTCTATCCTTACTATCTCAGATAACCTTGGATCATTAGCAAAAATTGTTGTCTTTGCCTTCACATCCTTTTTAAGGACATTGAAGAACATATTCTAACCCAAAATTTTCAGCACAGATCTCTGTGAAACACCCAAAACTTCTGTATGTGCTATTACTTAGTTACAAAATACTGCTTTTATGTCTAAAGATGGTGATTATGTTCACATAGTAATTTTGGTGCTATATTAGAAGAAATTAAGCAATCTAGTTTTCTAA